GGAGAAACTGAGAACATACTATAAACTCTTGGGACTTACAGGGGCTGCTGGAAAGCAGGTTTCCCTGTGTCCTTAGTGAGCCAACATCCGTTGTTTGCTGTATGAAGAAACAGAACATCATAGATGCTTAATGGCACATCTGGGAAAAGGCAGATCTGAACCAGATTACAGGCTCCCCCCCTGCTAATTAAGTGGCTTTGAGCAAGTGACCCAGACTCTTTCAACCTTGTGTTCTTCGTTTGTAAAACAGGTGCTGACAAAAATACCTGCATTGGGCTTCCCTGGTGGCACAGTGGTTGAGAGTCCGCATGCCGATGCAGGGGACGCGGGTTCGTGCCCCGGTCCGGGAAGATCTCACATGCCGCTGAGTGGCTGGGCTCGTGAGCCATGGCCGCTGAGCCGGCACGTCCAGAGCCTGTGCTCTGCAATGGGAGAGGCCACAACAGTGAGAGACCCATGTACTGCAAAAACAAAAACCTGACAACCCATAATTCTATACACCACAAAAATTTTAGGTGAAATAAAGACTTTTCTGTACAACATAAGCTGAAAAATGCCAGCAGAAACATTCTTCAAGTAATGTTCGAAATTCATCAAGCAAAAGCGCTATGATAGCAGATGCAAACTCACATGTACACAAAGAAAGGAAGAGTGAAGAAAATGGGGACAAAAAGTCAGATAAATACATTTCTTCTTATTTTTAATCATTCTCAAAGGTAACTGGCCAAGATAAGATTGTTACAGTTATGGGGCTTATAACACATTTAAAAGTAAAATGTATACCAATTATGGCAGAAAGAATGAGAGAGAGGGATTGTAAAGTTCTGATACCTGAAGTGATGTAATTTGAAAGTAGATGGTGAAGAAAGAGTGTATATTGTAAACCCTTGTGAAAGAAAACTTGCCTTGGACAATTGTTAAAAAACAGCAAGGAAGACTTTATTGAAGACTATTGCAATAGGGGGAGAGAGATTGAACTCAACTCCATAGAAACATAAGGCAAGAGGATTTTTACACACTGGGTGAGCTGATGGAAATTAGGGCAGGACGTGAGGGGGAGATTTTATTGATGTGAGGAGGCAATCTGAGTTGGCTAATTGTTGCTTATTGAAGTTAGGCTCCTACCCTCCCACAAAGACTAGGAGGCAGGGCCCCATCTTTCTTGAGGATCACATTCCAAAGGGAGGGCTCCCAGGCCCTTGAGAAAGACTTACCTCTCAAAGGCTCAGAGAAAGAAATTACAAGAGAAGGGAAGACAGGGCCCTGTAGTCAGGAATTAGCCTGTCTACACTTGGGTCAAGGTGAGAGGTCAGTAAGGCCATCTTGGTCACCCTAGGACAACCATCAAAAAGAAAGGAAAATGAATGAGTTGTAACTAATAAGCCAATAGTGGAGATAAAATGGAGTCATAAACAATACTCAATAAAAATGTAGACAGAAAAAGAAAAAAAAGGAAGAAGAGATGGAACAAACAGAGAGCTAGTAAGATGGTAGATTTAAATCGTCATACCAATAATTACATGAAATATAAATGGTCTATACACTTCAATTTAAAAAGACATTACCTGTTTATATTAAAAAGAACAGAACTATATAAGAAACCCATTTTAAGTGGGAGGTTGGATTAGCAGATGTAAGCCATCATATATGGAATGGCTAAACAGCAAGGTCCTACTGTATAGCACAGAGAACTATATTCAGTATCCTATGATAAACCATAATGGAATGGAATATACTAAAAAAAAGAATGTATGTATATGTATAACTGAATCATTTTGCTGTACAGCAGAAATGAACACAACGCTGTGAATCAACTATTCTTCAATTTAAAAAAAGAAACCCATTTTAATTATAAAGGCACAGATAGGTTGAAAAGAAAATAAAATGATGGGAAAATGTAATCAAAAGGAATCTGGAATGGCTAGATTAATATCAAACAAAGAAACATCAGGAGAAGGAATATTAACAAGAAGTATCACACAATAATAAAGGAGTCAATTCACCAGGAAAGACACAAGCATCCTCAACGTGTATGTATGTAAAAACAGAGCTTCAGGGCTTCCCTGGTGGCGCAGTGGTTGAGAGTCCGCCTGCCGATGCAGGGGACACGGGTTCGTGCTCCGGTCCGGGAAGATCCCACATGCCGCGGAGCGGCTGGGCCCGTGAGCCATGGCCGCTGAGCCTGCGCGTCCGGAGCCTGTGCTCCGCAACGGGAGAGGCCACAACAGTGAGAAGCCCGCGCATCGCAAGAGCTTCAAAATGCACGAAGGGATATCACATAGTGTCTTGTCAGCAGTATTGGTACCACCTAGGAGCTTTGCTAGAAATGCAGATCCTGCCCTACTGATTATAATCTGCATTGATAACAAGATCCCCAGGTGATCTGAGCAAATAGTAAAATCTAAGAATACTGATATAGTGCATCATGTCACATTTCTAATAAGGAACTCGGATGATATGTTTTCATAGCACTTCTCCCAACCAGAAAAAAGAGAGGGTAACTATGTGAACTGATGATATGTTGATTAATGTGTAGTGATTATGTCACAATGTATACATATACCAATCATCAAATTTCATACCTTAAATATATACAATTTTTAATTGGCAATTAAACTTCAACAAAGCTGGGGAAAATAGTCAATTAAAATACATATTCCTCCACAAACGCTGCAATAAGATAAAACAAATCTATAAACCTATACATAATTCAGTCCAATAATTTCAATTATCTTAATTTTTTTTTTTTTTGCGGTACGCGGGCCTCTCACTGTTGTGGCCTCTCCCGTTGCGGAGCACAGGTTCCGGAAGCCCAGGTTCAGCTGCCATGGCTCATGGGCCCAGCCGCTCCGTGGCATGTGGGATCTTCCCGTACTGGGGCACGAACCCGTAGTCCCCTGCATCGGCAGGCGGACTCTCAACCACTGCGCCACCAGGGAAGCCCTATATCTTTTTCTATGTATCGCTCACACATGTCAGGCTATCCAGTCATAAACTGAGATCATATAAAATTACCTGACTGAATAACTGCTTATTTTCTGTGTCTCGTCCTCTTATGTGAATTCCATGAAATCAGGGACTGACAATTTTTTCCCCACCATCATTCCACCAGGGCACCAGAGCGCCTGACACGCAGGAAGTGCAAAATAAGTATCTTTAATAAATCAGTATTGAGACAGATGAAAAAGATGGCTCTATCGCCCTGCTATGGCAACGGGACCCTCACTGTAGTTTTCTCCACATCCAAGGTGGTCAGGGACTCTCTCCATCAACTAGAAAATTCAGTCAATTGGTCTTCCCTTGATCCCCTGATTCAGTAGGATGCTGAGCATCCTTCAGTGGGTGGGAGCTGGGGAGTGGGGAGTGGAGGTGAAGCAGGAAGGGGCCTCACTGGCACCTCCATGCTTTAGTGATGTCCCTTGCTGAATTAGTTCCTAAAAATTTCTAGCTGTTTTCATGGTGTTCTTTTCTACTTTGGGTCTCCAAAACTCATACACATATACCTATGGAGTATATCACAAATTTATATGAATTATACATTTTCAAGTTATTTGATTAAAAAAGCCAGTTTTGAAAGCTTATTTCTGGTTACTCAATGGCACTCACCCCCTTGCTTATAAATTTTCATTATGTATTTTTCAAAATAAAATGATTGTTTTACAGCAATTCACACAAATCAACTGATATATTAATTCAGACCAAAAGAAGCTACTCAAATGAAAATAGTATTGTCCAGGATGGGTAGGTATCACATGAACCACTCAGGCCTAATTCTCATCATACTTAACATAAAATGATACTTGTCACAGAGCAAACCCTAGTGAGAGGGACCCACGCTGGTCTCCTTGTAACCCTTCCTCCCTATAAAAAAAACTTTTCATCATTGGAAGCATGAAGTTACACAGATCTGAAGTTACCCAATTCTAAGCTGCAATTCTAAGTTAACACTGACTAAATTTCCTAGTCAACAGGTTATAGATGAAACAATTTTATAATTTATAATCATAATTTAAAATAAAAATATGTGAAAAGTTCCTTAGGTAGTATTTTCCTAATTTAAAAAAACTTATGTGAAGTTCCCACCATCTACGACTTTTATCCTTTCTCTACTTTTTTCTTCCAGTCATTACATTTGTTCAAGTCAACTGAAACCTTTACCATTGGATCATACCTGTTTTTATTTTCCATGTTATTTTCTAATTTTTGTCCACACCAGGTACATTTTACAGTTATAATCACAGTATACTTGATATTTTGTTAACTATGTCTTTCAATTAACAGTATGTGCTCACCATTTCTGTGTTATGAAATCTTCACTACTGTTTTTCATGATTGCCAAATACTTCTAATTTCCTTAAGATAGACTTATTTTTGAACTTTTAGGGTTTTTTTATGCTATTAAATATACTTATATATATATATATGTATATATATATACATATATATATATATATATATATATATTTCTTCAGTCCTTTAAATTGTTTCCTGGGTGTAGATTTCCAGGAGAGAAAATAAGGATCAAAGCATGGAATGTTTTTATGATTCTTTCTGTGCTTAGTTATTTAATCATTTTACAAAAAGGATGGGTCAATTTACATTGCTCAAGGAGTCTGTGAGTGTATCACTTTTACAAAGACCTCACCACGATTCACTTTAGCTTTAATTTTTTAATTCTAACAAATATCAGTTAGTATCTCATTAATAATTATCAGTGGGGTTGAACGCTATTCTAAATGTTTATTCTATAGGATTACCTGAATTGTCTATTCATCTATTCACATTCTTAACACACCCTTCTATTTCCTTCCATTTTTTTTTTAAAAGGTCTATTTAATTGAGCCATGAAAACAAATCTCTTACCTGACCTAAATGCAAAAGGCAACAGAAGCAGAATCAGCACAAACTTGTCATGATACCTTAGAGAATTGGGCTGTCACTAGAACCACCACGTTAACAGAAGAATCATCCCTTCAGGGGAAATACCATCTGTTTAGCCTAGTCAGTCCTTGGAGTTGAAGGAAGAAGAAAATGTATTATTGTGGATTTGAGGGCCGCATTTCATTAGAAAGTTGTAAATTTTACTTTTAAATCACCAAATAACTTTTCAGAAAAACACAGTGATTGGTCATGAACGATGAAACAGGCTAAATGTAATCAAGCGTCCAGCTAGAGTAGGGGGAACACTGATACAGCTCATTGCATGATCAACCTGATTTACACGCTGTCCACACAGAAGAGAAAGGTTATGATACTTCAGATCCTGCATTTATTGGGTGAGAGACATGCCCCATGTTACTTGACATCACAGAGAAGGGCGACCCCACGGAGCACCCAGTGTTCGGGGGCCTGGGCCGTCCTGAGGTCCACAGCAGCAATGTAGTTCAGATCTGCTCGGACTGGCTTCTTGTAGATGGGACAGGAGTACAACCGAGGGTCTCTTACAGCTACAAAAAAATTCATAAAAAAAACCTCGGTGAATTTCTGATTTAAGCAGCCCCAAGCCCAGAGTGCAGAGCCAAATCTGTGCACTCTGAAGGTCATTCCAAAGAGAGATGGGTTTAGTAGAATGAGGGAAATTCTTCCTGAGGTCAGATAATCCTTAGATGTGAAAGCAGAGGCTACCACAGGTTTCCAGTGGGTGTGACAAGACACCCAGACATCCTCACATTTGCCCCACTCACCCCTTGTCACATGTCCTTGACATTAACCCCTGCCCATGTGACATGACCGCGAACCCCTCCCTCTCCTTTCCACCTGTCAATTCAACACCCCTCCTCCACCCTGTCCCCTGTACTTTTTCCCCACCAAATCCTGTGCCCACACACCCTCTCTATATTTCCCTTGTGACTTGCCTTTGTCTTTTAATCAGACATCCAGCACCAATGCTCACTATTATTTCACTATTATTATTGCAAAATCCCATCTTCAACCCTTTGTGCCATAGTCCAAACCACATTTGAAATCACGGGACAGAGAATGTTCCCTACCCCTACCAGGTGTTGTGAGTTCCCCATGTGCGTAGAAACATGAAAATGGCAGGGAAGCAGAGAACCATGCCACCGTTCAGCTCTCTAAGATTCAATCTACCTTTTTGGAGTACATGAACAGATGGAGTCTCTAAAATCACCTATGCAATGAAAGACAATCTGTGTGTCCCTTCTTCAAAGGTCTTCTTTTATGCATTCTGTCCAGCCTTGGCATCCCCATATTGAGGACAGATGCAGGTCTTGCGGGGCCTCAAACTTACACAGTTTGGGGGAGGGGCTTCTTTTAAGAAAAAAAAGTACAATTTGCAAGTATAAAATTAAGCTTTGGAAGGAGCCTCTGCACTGAGCAGCCTTAGAGTTTAAGCTTCACCTGCTTCTTGTTAAATCCACTCTACTTATAGTAGTTTATTTGCACATCTTGTAACACCCATCTCGGAAAGCAGTATATTATTTCCTGTTCTCTCCCAGACTATAAATTATTTCAGGACAAAAGTTGTGTCTGCACTCATCCGTGTACTTCTCTGGAAGGCCAATATTATAAATGACCCTCACATAATTATTGAGATGAAAACATACTTAACTAAGAGGATAACTTTGCTTTGGTGAATTAGTGTAACAAACATGTAACTTTCAAAATGCAATATTAATATATAAATGATACTGAATTTATTTCCCCAAACTAACTTACTCAATAATTTAGCTTTTCCTAACACATCAAAAAAGTAAGGCACTATCAGAAATTAAAGTCTCATTTTTTGACCCAAGAAAACCTTCAACCTGCTGTGCCATGTGTTTTGGTTTTGTTTGTTTGTTTGTTTTGCGGTACGCGGGCCTCTCACTGTTGTGGCCTCTCCCGTTGCGGAGCACAGGCTCCGGACGCGCAGGCTCAGCGGCCATGGCTCACGGGCCCCGCCGCTCCGCGGCACGTGGGATCTTCCCGGACCGGGGCACGACCCCGTCTCCCCTGAATCGGCAGGCGGACTCTCAACCACTGCGCCACCAGGGAAGCCCCATGTGCCATGTGTTTTTATACCTCCACTAAATGTAATTAATTTTATTGGAAGAAGTTAAACATTTAAATATGATAATATTATACAAAAGTTTCAATATAAAATAATCTAAAGCTGTAATTCTTAACCAGGTGTGATTTTTACCAGGGGACATTTGCCAATATCTAGAGACATTTTTAGTTATCACAACTGGGAAGGTGCTACTGGCAACAAGTAGGTCGAAGCCAGGAATGCTGCTAACATCCTATAATGCACAAGACAGCCCCTCACAACAAGAGTTATCTGGACCAAAAATGTCAATAATACAAAGGTTGAGAAATGCTGTTCTAAAACATAGTCATGACATATATACACTAATATGTATAAAATAGATAATAAGAACCTGCTGTATAATAAATTAATTAATTAAATTAAATTTTTAAAAAGTAAAGAAAAAATAAAGTATTTAAATATTAAAAAAAAAAACAAAGATGGTTCAATGTCAGAAAATCTACCCATGTAATTCACCACATTACACAACTAAGATAGGAGATATGATTATCTCAATGTAGAAAAAATCATTTAATAAAGTTCAGTACAATTTATAATTAAAAATTCTGAGCAAACCAGGAATAAAAAGGAACTTCCTAAACTTAGTAGAGGTTATAATATTAAAATTTATAGCATATAATATACTTAGAGAAATTTTACATGTATTTTCTTGAGGCTCAGAAACAATTTTGATCAAGAACATTAAGAAAAGAAAAATAAATAAAATTGGTAAGAATTAGAAGGGCAGAGAATCAACTATCATAATAGAAAAACAATCAACAAACTTTTAGAACAATTAAGAATCTTCACCAACTAGTAAGGATCTTGCTGGATTCAAGATCAACCTGTGCTGGCAATTGCCAACTAAAAGTTTTAATAAAAAATAGGATACAATTTTTAATTTTGACAAAACCATAAAGTATCAGGGAATTAACCAAGAGATCTGTATAGAAAATACTTTAAAACTTTAATAAAAGACATAATGATGATCTGAAAAAATTTTTAAATAAATAAAACAAAGTCGCAGATATTTTACAGTACTTTAAAATTATGTATTTGCTTAATCCCATGAAATTAATTATTAGAAACCATCTAAATTAATGTAACACCTAATTTTAAGTCTAGTTGCTATTTTTTAATTACCATGAGAATGTCATTAGTGATAATAATTAGGCAAACATACAAAAAAATCTGATTAAATCAGTGAATGACAGTGAATTTGAGGAGTGCAGTTAATGCTAACTACACTGATATATTTAAACCCTTTAATCCTAAAATCTGAACATATAACAAATATTTAACTAATCGTTCTTCTTGATGCACACTTGACCAACAATCATTTAATAAATCTTGCTGTAAGCCCTTGGAGTTTTACATTTGAATCAAGTGATAATTATAATTGCACCTTGGGAAGTATTCGATTACTTGGGTTTTAATCCCAAAAGAAAAATAGACTTGGAAAAAATAGCATTCTTTTCAAGAAGCAGTAAAAATAAAGCAATTCTCTGAAATATTTATCCAATTTTATTTATTTTTAATTGCTTCAGAAGGGAAGGAGCCCACACCAAGTCACAGCATGCAGCAACCTTCTGCAGCAGGATTAGAAACCACTGAAAATATAATTTCATGGTAAAAGTGCTGACAGATGCTAAACAAGCACATAAAGAGATGATTTGAAACCATTACCTCTGGTTAGACAAATAACTTTGAAGACAAAAATAAACATGCTAAGTAGGTAGGACAAATTAGCTAAATATGTTTAAAGCCTTGGGGCTCCAGAAGGAGATGAGAGAAGAGGGTATCTAAACTGGCGAGCTATGTGCTTTAGTATGCTAAAGGTTTTAATAAAATGCCTTGAGGAAATTTCATTTTCTAGCTCTATAACTTCCCTCTCTAGCCTACATTTTTCATCCAAATGTAAGTATATCATTACATCATATATTCCTTCTAATATCCAAAATAACCTATATAGAGATTCCTTATGTCATTCCTTTATTTAGTCCCTCTTTTGCTAATAACATTTAGGTTATTAAACAGTGCACTCTTCCATGTGTTATTTCTTTTAATCCTTCAACAAGCATGAGAGTTATATTAATAATAATAAATTTTTTATTCTTATCTATTGTATGCTAATTATGTGCTGGACATTGCCAGTTTAATTCTCTCAACAACCCAATGAGATGGGTACCATGATTAAATCCATTTTACAGATGAGAAAACTGGAAGAACATAAAGAGGTGAGTTACTTATCCAAGGTTGCAGAGCTGTAGGTGATGAGTCAAACCTGGCCAGAATGGATCCAGAGCCTAAGCTCTTAATCTCAGCAATAGTGTGACATACTATGTGTATGTGTCTCCATATCTTTGCAGAAATATGTAAATGTGGACCAGAGATAACTAGATACCTGACTTCAACTTGTGGCATAGCTGAGACTCCTCCAAAGCTACATGACTAACTGCTAAGGTGATAAAGCCATGAAAGCACCCCAAATATCCAGGCTCCTGGCTCACTGCCTTTTACCTGAGGACATGTGCCCCGCTATGGGGCAGGGAGGTGACCTTCAGCATGGGGAGAGGAGGCCACAGGGGGTGACAGCTCTCATCTGCGTAGGGCAGAGGCCTTTACTGTGTCTAGTTCACCAGGTACCTGAGAAATATTAATACATGACTTCAAAATGCAAGGAAACTGTCCTCATTTCCAATTTAGCCTCTATTTTCAAGCTTCATCCCTAAATGCAGAGTCTTGAGTAGAACCCTACCACAAGAATTCCCAGAGATTTGCATTCATCCCACAACAGACAAATGTGATTCTGATAGCAGCTTCGGTAGCCAGGAATCGTAGGCAAATTACCTAATATCTCTAAACCTTCATTTCCCCATCTACAAAATCGTCATTGTACATCTTACAGAGTTGTTGTAAAGACTAAATAAGTCAATATATGTGAATGCCTAGCATAGTATAGTGCTTGCAATGCAGTAGATGTCCGAGGTGTGTTAGATTTCTTCCCTCTCTCCCTGTATACACACACACACACACACACACACACACACACACATACACACACACACACACACACACACACACACACGCACATATACACTTACCTTTTCACTAAAACAAATTCCCCAGTCTCAGGTTCCCCATGACTTTAACAGAGTTCAGGTTTACAAACTGAAAGTGGATTAAACGCTGCGGGGCTCAGGAGTTAGGAGGTCTCCAGCTCCAGGTCACTGCGCGGGGCTATTCCCACCCCCGGCCCACGACAGCACGGTGTTGGATCAGGGTGGGTCCTAGAGCATTCTTAGAAACACTGTTCCTCTAGCAGGAAATAGTCTCATTAGCTGCAGGGACCCTGAGATTCTTCACATCTTACTTAGTGACCAGAGATACATGTTAGTCTTGCTTTGTTCCCCCCAAATTCTAACCACTGCTTTCCCATCACATGGGCTTCAGCACCGAAGTTATTAGAAGCATCACTCTCTCTCTATAGGAGACATGTATTTCCTGTAGCTGCCTCTTTTCAACTTCCTTTGAGAACAGAGGATCTAGAGTGGGTACGGGTGGCTTTACTCTCTTGGAGTATTTAGTACTATTTGGGTGACTCTCCCGTGACAAGAAATATAAATAAAACAAACATTTGGGGATATAGCTCAATATATAGCTCAATTTTGATATATTGATAAACTCAGTTTTTAGCTTTGAAATAAATATTTAGACTTCCTTTTAAAAACAAATAAACCAGTCCTATATGTAAAATTCAATGGTGAATTATTTAAACTGAAATTGCCATTCCTATTGACATAAAAAACAATCCATTACAAGAATTTTAATTTTAAAACACTACACTTGGGCTTCCCTGGTGGCGCAGTGGTTGAGAGTCTGCCTGCCGATGCAGGGGACACGGGTTCGTGCCCCGGTCCGGGAAGATTCCACATGCCGTGGAGCAGCTGGGCCCATGAGCCATGGCCGCTGAGCCTGCGCGTCCGGAGCCTGTGCTCCACAATGGGAGAGGCCACAACAGTGAGAGGCCTGCATAACGCAAAAAAAATTAAAAAATAAAAATAAATAAATAAATAAAACACTACATTTTTGGAGCGTCCTCTAGCCATTAATGATGTTAAACTTCTTTGGCTCAATTAGAGCCCTATTTAGTCATCAAAATTGAGTGAAAATTAGATTTACAGTAGGAAAAGAGCAATGGAATGTTAGTTTTCTATCACGAACAAAACACCTCCTCAACCACAAAGCTATTTGGCAAAAAGTTTCCACCAACTTCTACTGAAGCCAAAAAAAGAATAAAGAATTATAGTTTTCCTTTTCTTTTTTCTTAGTACTTTGAAATTAGTGAGTCACTTTTTCCTTTGCTTATTTTTATTTCCTCCCTAACCCTACAGCTAACGAGCATCACCGCAGACTACAGCCCAGCAGCGTGAGTACAGTTCTTCCATACCGACGTATTCTTAAATCATAAAGGACTGCCTGTATTATAAATTTATTGCTTTATTACTACGCTGCTGAGATGTTCAATGTCATGTGGCCATGGATTTTTACAATTTAGTCACAAGAAATAAAGTAACACCTAACTGAATGTGAGAAAGATTTTTCTTTCACTTTATAAGGGAAACATTTTCCCAACAATGTTGACTAGATGCAACAAAATTTCTAAAATATTACTTTTGGCTAAAAGAACATTTGATTATTATTTCTATAAAATAATCACTGTTCTGGGACTTCACACGACCGTAATTGATTATTATTTCTAGAAAATAATTACTGTCCTGGGACGTCACATGACCGTAAGGATTAATGTACATGAAGCCACAGGCAGTGTGTTTGCTGAAGCCCAGGCAGACACATGGATAATTTCAGACGCAGCGAGGGCATAATGAGTGACACCCTGTACCAGGAGGCATACTGAGTACCCTACGTCTCTCTTCTGATGCTCAGCTCTCCCATGGGCTCCCCTTCCTTCACACACCGTCTTTCTGTTCCTCAAACACAGCACATTCGTTGCTACCTCTTGCCTCTGCACTCTTGCCTTTGCCCCATGGATACTAGTCCAATGTTCAATGTTCTCTCCTCAGCAAAGCCTTCCCTGAACCCCTGAATTCTCTCACTCCCTGACACACCGTGTGTATGTGTTCTTTACAGAAACAAGAACTGTCTGAAAGCGATATGTTCATTTACACTTGATCCTCGTTATTCCTGGGACTTACGTATCTAAAATCTCACGGAGTCTGAATTACCGTTGGCCACTCGGGGAAGTACAGGGTCAGGTTCCTGCAAGCCTCTGGTCACAGCATTTCCATCAGCCCATCAATACGTAACCTTGTTTTATGTGTGTTTCTGTTTAAAGTCACCTTATTAATATACACTGTTGATTCATTCACATTGAACTCAAGGTCAACAGCACTATGACTCATGCCTGATCAGAGCATGTCTAACACACATGTTTTCTCCATAAGGCACATCACCGCCTTCTTGCGCTTAGGGACACTAGACAACACTTCAGCACTACGCACTGGGGCCATTTTCAACAATGAAAAGTAGAAAAATGTGAAAAACATAGCACAAAATAGACCATGGAAAGGACACTTGTTTACAGTCTGAGCTGAAACAAGGAGTAGAGCACAGGCTTGTTCAACCTCAACTAGGAACACTCATGTCAGGAGACTCAAATGTTTCACTGCTTTGTACATGTCCATGAAAGACTGTGAAAGTGCCACAAGCATTGACACTGGGGTCACAGATAAATTTTAGAGTGCAGGCAAAATCATACAGAATCCTTGCGTAACAAGGACTGACTATATTTGCTTCTTTTTTCAGCTACTTTGAGACTGAACTCCTTGCAAATGGGGATTCTGCTTGGCCTTTTCTCATTGTTGCATCCCCAGCCATAGAGTAGTGTGTGTCAGATGGTCGACACCAGATAAATATTAAATGGATGACCCAGTGAGCCAAAGCTCTTTCCCTCTGCCAAGAAAAGTCTAACTCTAATGCCCTCTCATGCTCACCCTTATCCTCCAAAACTCATCTCAGAAGCAGTCTCCACCAACCTCCCAGGCCTAGTTATGTTCTACTTCTAGATTCCCTGACCATCCTGACAGCATCTCTATCATAACGTGTCAAATTCTACTTAAATTATTTATTTACTTATCAGGCTCCCGCACCAGACTGTGAGTCCCTTGTGGGTGTGATCTGATTCATAATTATCTTTTTGTCTCTTGCAGGTAAGTTGTGGCTGGTATAATTAGTCATGCAGCAAACATCAATATTTGCCTAAAAAGTACTCAAAGTTTATACACTCTCTTCCCTTGACATATATTTACAAATGTGGTACTTATCTAAAGGATGGAGGTACTAAAAGCTCTCTTTTAGAGAGAGATTGTTTTATCCCTTGCTTGTTTAAAGAAAAATCTTTTGTGCTTCTGTTGTAAAATTAGTGCTTCCTTGGGATCCACTATCCTGGCTACCTCTTGAGTTTATGGCTTAATAGTGATCATCTCACTATGTATATGTATATCAAATCATCATGTTACACACCTTTAATATATGCAATTTTTATTTAAAAAGGAAAATAATTTTTTTTTTAATAAAAAGAACAGGGAATCTCCTCATATGGTGAACGGTGGTTACTGCTGAGGAGATGTTAGCTGAGTGAAATGCAACAACAAAAACCTCTAGAAAACATCAAGCCAACAATGGAAAATAGTTTAGGTGTTTTTAGCCTTGTCAAACAGAGCTTTGATAACTTTGTCAAAGTATTCTTCTTTGACATGTGTGTTTCATAGAAGTGTTATCACATTCATAGGCTGATATGTGAACCCAGCGTTTTACCCTTAGCTACTGGATTAAGTTGAATGTCCCTGAATTCAAACTGGATTTCACAACCTGGCTTAAATCTCCAAGCTGGTGGATAAACCACCTCCCGTAGCCCTGTGCAGTCCTGCCTGGAAAGCCTTCTTTCCACTACTTACCTCATCATCCAAGCCCCGTCTATCCTTCCAAGCCCATCCAGGCCCAACTGCCCCTAAGATCCAGCCCCTAACTATTTCATCCCACTGTTAACTCACCCTCCTTTCTCACCACTTATTTACTATTCCAAACACCTGTTTCTTATCTCATTAGCTAATGCTATTTTATCTGCTTTATTAGATAGGCAAGAACTATCTAGAACCATTGCCTCCCAGGAGCTTTCAAGAAAGAGTCCAGCAGTCAGTCAGTACTCATTAAACACAGGTGTGAATGTGAAGCCACTTGATAACATAGTATAATCCTTATCCCATGATAACAAAAATAACGATATCCTGTGTTCATAACATCATCCAACCTAATAATACCAACCATCCCTCAATGCGCAAGACAACTTACTGTTGTTTTCGGCATAAATTCTTATCACAGGCATTAACTCGAAGAGCACTTTCGGTTTGGACTCGATGAGTTTCATGTTCCTCTTGTCCCAGCCAGCACCCTCAAGATACAAGCCGTAGACGTAGATGCCCTCTGTGGGAGGGGCAGAAATGTCATCCTTCATCCACTTGGTGACTTCGCTGCACAGCACCATATTGTCCAGAGCCCAACCTTCGTTGGCCCGAGTTATTTCCTACTCAGGGCAAGAGCAAAAGCAAAGGATGAATGAAATCAGCAACTAGAGGTTTGTCTTGATATAAAGAGCATTATCGTGATGACAGTGTAGCCCCAAATTATCCAGATTCAAAGAAGGTAGGATAGTATTTAAAGTTTTAAAAGATTCTCTTATAAGCAATACCCATGTCCTAATTTAACCCCTTGTACTTTAAGAGAAATATCAAATCAAATCAAATATAACAATAACAAATATTTTGAAATCCCAGCTAGCAGCCTGAGAACAAGCAGGTTTATGTTCAGGACAAAGTAACTGCTGGTGTCAAAAAGAGACAATCATTCTCTGTCTTATTCTACTCTTTAAAACTATAATGAAAGAAGAAAGCCTGGTAAAGGAAAATTATAATAACACAACAAGTGAAAATCAGAGCTATTACCTGTCGCATTGCAGTTAAAAATCCTTGGGGGTTAAAAAAGCCTGTCATCCAGAAGCAGTGGGGCCGGTCATTGAAAACCCAAGAGGTAAACTGGCAGTTTCTTTCAATAAGCTCAGTAAACCAGAAACCCAACGTACTTGAAACCCAAGATTCCTGAAAAGCATACATTAAACCATGAATTAATACAGGTTTAATTCTGCCGTGTAACTGGCTACGTTCACAGAAGAAAACAGTGGTGAAATAACAATTTCACTCTTAGAATTTAGAAGTCCCTAAGACATAAATTTTCCTTGGGTTATGACATTTAAGTTTTCAAATTATTCTTCCTGCTTAATGATATATGATAGAATCAGCTAGTCATCACATGGATTTCAGATCAAACCAGTTCAGCACACTGTTCAAGACATCTGTTTTCAGTAGAATCTCCTTCCACATACAAATATAGTCATGACCAATTTTGCCATAAAGCAATTAAAACAATTAATTGAATTAAATTTAACAGGTTTCAACTATTTTTCCTTAGGCTACATTTTCAGTAGATACATTATAAAATAAGATTTCTATTTATATAAATGTGCTCATGGCCTTATCAGCACTTTAAAATATATTTTGTGAATGATAAATCATAGAAGCCTTTCTCCACTTATCATTTTTTAATGAGGCAAACAACAGTTATTCTCTGAAGTTTTTGTCCCTTAGACTGCACTTTTATTTCCTCTGATGAAGGGGTAGAAATGGAAACACAGGTCTCTTTACCACAAACAAATTAATTGCATTCATTGCCTGTAATGTTCTGCCTGAATTCACATGTGGAACTCCTATTACTACAATTGGCATGGAAATGTCATTAACATTATCAGCAGCCACACTAGAAGGTATCTCCAAATCATATTTTATAACATTTTACTGTAACTGCAATATTTTATGTGTGAATAAATGTAGTGATCAACCTGGATAGATAAACTACTTGAATTTCAAATATCTTAAGAATTGATACGCCTATTTTTCAAGAGACAATGAGATTCCCAAAGACTGATAATAAGTAGAATAAAAACCTGTATAAAATGATTTTAATTTAAAAATGAGGTAACTCATTCTATCACATCTTTATAGATGTGTTAACTGAAAGAAGTGTTTTTATATGACATTTGATCTGAGGGCACAGGGACCCATTAATAAGGGGATGTCTCCAGGCAAGGATCCCTGTTCCAGAGCCTGCAGGTGCTCACCAAGCTGGGCGAGCTGTTTAGTGGAAAATGAGCCTGCAAGGGCCAGTGACCACGGAGGTTCTTCCTCTGTCATTGGCAAAGAGAAGAGTGAATTCATATAGAAAACTCTCTGGCCTTGGCAATGAATTTTTTGAAGGTGAGGAGAGAAAGGAGTCTGGTCAAAGCTGATTCTGAGTCTCTAGACCACGTGACTAGAGGGATGGATGGTGTCTCACCAAATAAGATGGAGAAGACAGTAGAACACTCCCCAATTACCATATACTGCCTTTGGGACCCACTGCCTTGGAATCTGCCAAAGCCCTGGGTGAGATATCAGAGTCTCAGCACTAAGTGAATCTCTTCTGAGAGACTCTCAGTTCTAACCCCATCCTGTCTCACCATCCCATTTACCTGAGTATCCTCCAGAAGGTTCCAGTCACCCCAGGACCCAATATCATCTCTATAAGTTGCCCTCCCTGCATAACCCCACCCTCCTGCCTCCCAAGTCCTTCCCCTGGACCCTCAGCATCTTCAGAGCCATGATCAGCAAACACCTCTACAGAGACATTCAGGTACTCATTTTACTCTTCCAAGTAAAAAATAAAAAATTCTTAAAACCACATCTACCATACAAACTGTTATATGTAGAATGGATAAACAACAGGTCCTACTGTATAGCACAGGGAACTATATTCAATATCCTGTAATAAACCATAGTGGAAAAGAATTTTTTTAAAAAACCCACATCTTGGTGCATATATATATAATGGAATATTACTCAGCCATTAAAAAGAATGAAATAATGCCATTTGCAGCAACATGGATGGACCTAGAGATTATCATATGAAGCCAAGTAAGTCAGAAAGAGAAAGACAAATACCATATATCACTTATATGTTGAATCTAAAATACGACACAAACAAACATACCTATGAAACAGAAACAGATTCACAGACGTAGAGAACAGACATGCAGCTGCCAAGGGAGAGGGGCTGGAGGGGAAGGATTGGGAGTCTGGGATCAGCAGATGCAAACTATTATATATAGAATGGATAAACAACAAGGTCCTACCGTAGAGCACAGGGAACTATATTCAATAGATTGTGATAAACCATAAGGGAAAAGAATATGAAACAGAATATACATGTATAACTGAGTCACTTTGCTGTGCAGCAGAAATTAACACAACATTGCAAACCAATGAAACTTCAATAAAATTTTAAAAACCCACACCTGTCATTTAGCACAATTAACAATACATAATCAATAAGCATACTGTTAAATTATTATCTTGTTATCTTGAGAGATACATACTCACATATTTACAGACGAAGCAAGGAAAAATGTGTCTCTTTGGTGTGACTTTTGATACCTGCGTGTGTCTAGGAACATTCCCTTCTATAAGACTAACATCATGAGCTTTGAAGTCCATGAGCTTGGGTTTACATTCTGATTCTTAGACTTCTAAGGTGTGTGATCTGGGAAAAGATTTAACACCACCCCCAACCTCAAGTTCCTCATCTGTAAACTAAGGGTAATAAATTGCCAGATTTAAATGAAACAGTGCATATAAATTGCCTAGCAGAGAACCTGAGATGTGGGAGATGTTAAATTATTTCCTTCCCTACCCACAATCCAAAAATACAGGGCTCTAAGGAGATTAGTCCCTAAGCAAAAGAACACTCTTAAGTACATTATTCTTACATGCTTTTCACTGGCCGATTACAACTATTCACAGCAATAAAGTGATTAGGCAGAATAACAGCTGAGCTAAACGTACTTTTTTCCACCGAGCAGGAATTCTGGCATCAAACATGCAATTCAGTGCATCTTGTAGATTTTCACTCATGATGATGGTGCCATCAATGGCAAGTTTTAGCTCGGTCAGGGTGCTTCGGACTAGGGTGAGTACCCTTTGCATTCTGTCTATCTCTTGCCTGAGGAAAATGTTCATCGGCTGGAATGGCCCCATCTTTTGCAGCCTCTCCTTTACCTGCCATGGAGACACCCAGCACGTGAAAAAGTAGACAGCTACTAATGTTATGTAACTGGTACCCTAGGGCTTCTGAAAGGGCCCCAAATTTTACAGTTCCATAAACAGTAAGCTTTTCTTTTTTCACTGCCAGAAAACAAAGAAGAAATAAAGAAGAAATGTCTGTTAAATGACCAGCTGATTTTTCATCCCATGTGGGAGAAGACAGGCCTCCATAAATTCACAGAATATACAATCTATGTCCACAAACATGTAGCCTTCCAAACAGCAACTGCACTTATTGGGAAATATTCACTACTGCCACTCCAAGACTTGCGAATACACACATGGACACACACAAGCAGATGTGTACACATACACAACAATTCTTAAGGCTGCCTCAAAAAAAGAGACTTCTGTTTTAAAAGCTTTCTGTTTTTCCCATCAAAGCATCTATCCATCCACCCACCCATTCATTTCTGTCTTACAAGTGTTTATTCAGAGTCTTTTGTGGATCAGATATCATGCCACGTTGAGTTGCTTTATCCTAAGCAAATTTAGCAAAAGGAAGGTGTCTCTTCTAAACCCCATACTTACCATGTTTGTTTATGTAATTATTATTATATTTTTAAGGCATTTTTATTGCTTTATAAATATTTCAACCACTGTTAGACATGAATGACCGCTTTCCTGATACTATAATGAAAGGTGCTTACGAAAGCTGGTAGCAGTATTGATTTTCTCCGAGCAAGTGATCAGAGATTCTTCCAAGGGAAATGAGTCCCTTGGTGACAGTTCCTTGAGTTCAGACTAGAACTAGCATCCAAAATGGCCTGCTTCATGGAAAATCATAGGATGCTCAAGTAACAAAATGCTGCAGACTTCCTTCTGAAAACCAGGTGGCAAGAGCAATATATAAAGAAACACGGTGGTCTTGTGACAAAAATGTCACAAGGTTAGTCCAGGTCATCTCTTAAGACTACATGGATGGGACTTCCCTGGTGGTCCAGTGGTTAAGACTCAGCGCTTCCACTGCAGAGGGCATGGGTTCAATCCTTGGCTGGGGAACTAAGATCCCACATGCCGTGGGGTACAGCCAAAAAAAAAAAAAAAATGCATGGAAAGTAAGCCACTTACTTTTGCTTTCCTCAAAGACTTAAACATGTTATCAGGGTAAATCTTTTCACAATAATTGCTAAAATGTCAAAAAGAATTAAGTTTCACAATCATCAGTTTTGCTTAGAAGTTACTTGCGTATTAAAAAGACAAATCAATGTTCCAAACCCATGAGATGAGGAAGCTGCAGAGTTAACAATATAACTATAGACTCCCTGAAATTAAGGAGGCCTGAATTACACAACATTTTCCTAAATAATCAATGCTTTACTCTAAGAATACATTTTTTTTCCTCTGAACAAATGACAATGTGAAGCGCCTCCGGGGAATGTTTTAGAAAAGCAAAATCCTAACCCATCGGTCCACACTTGTAACTTAATTAGGAAGATTAACGTTCTCATCAGGTTTCTTTATTATTCCTCTTTTGAGATGATTACATTTATAAATTCAAACACTTCTTTTTCTGGTTCTTCAAGAAGTAAGTTTTTTAAATGATTTTTTTTTATTTCAGAAAAATTATTTTTTGCCCTCCTCCCTTTGTCCTCACTCCCCCAACCAACCAGACACATCCACAGCTGACGTTTTGTCAGGATGCCATCAACTCACTTCAAATGGACCATAGTCTGGGGGCAGCTTCTCTAGCATGTCATCAGCCAGCCGGGCCACCACTGCCTCTCGGGTCTCATCCCCTCCACCAGAGCTATCCGTGGGCTGGATGCCCAGAATGGTGTCCAGCACGTCCTTGGCCAGCTTGCTTTGGTAGGTGATGTCGGCATTGGGGTGCAGCCAGAACACCTCAGGGCTGTCGTAGGTGGGCAAGCTCTGAACAACACAGACCGTAAGCACAGACTGCTGACACAAGTACCAGTTAAATTACACTGTCTTAGCAAATAAACATGTTTTTATTAGGATAAACATTTACATGATATGTCTTATTCATGGCAGGCCGCAACCTCAACAATTTCTCCAGGAAAGAATCAAAAGTTGTCTTGAAAAACAATTAACATAATAGGTCCATGGTTCTTTAATATCTGCACTTCAAGCAAATTCAATCAAAATGACACTATCTTGTTCTATAATATATTTGTAAGATGGAAAGGGAACTATGGATTGGTATTTTGTTTTTTGAAGGTCTCGTCTAATTCAAACCAATTGTTTAAATAAATGGTGTATAACGAATTGTTACTAAAAATGACAGTTTTAGCAATTTTGGCCCAATAAGACCAGAGGTGGGAAATGTACTTTCCCAAGGAGGACAGAGACTAAGAAAAACGAGAAATATTGAAAGAGCAACAAAGTTACAGAGAAAAACAGACAGCAAATGAGAAGCAAAACTAGCAGGTAAATACTCCCCCAGCTACTTGAAAAAAAGAAACTTTACCTACAATTTGACGTATAATTTTATGTGCGAATTGTATCCTTACCTTTATTCATGGTTTCCCTCCCTTCTAGTCCATTATTTTATTCCTTTTTACGTAATGCCCTTTTATGAGCTACCTCAAATTCATTGTGAAATGAGGTGTATGTAAATAAATATAATGTGCAGGTATACCTAAATTTATACCTTCATAGGCATTCTCCTATTCAGTACTAATGATTTAAAGACACATATAGTACAGTTAAGACAAATATATTTGTAGATTTGAATTAATAAAACTGTAGGGGTGATGATATATGATAAACTCATCACACTTATATATCATGGAACCTCTAAATATACTGATAAATTTAGCACTTGGCGGACTGTTGTGCTTTACTTTGTTCATCCTGAGATAAATCTTAGAGGCAAAAGAGATCGCTAAATGATGATCTAATGAAATCAAAGTATTGAGGCAGAAAATGTAGTTACCTGGAAGGACAAATCAGATTTTTTCCCAAATCTCCTGTCAAAATCCTATTCCTACTTAGAGCAGGCCTTCTCAGTTGGAGGTGATTTTGCCCCCGCCAGGGACATTTGGTAATGTCTGCAGACATTGTAGGTTGTCACAACTGGGTAGAAAGTGAAACTGACATCTAGTGGGTAGAGGCGAGGGATGCTGCTAACCATTCTATACAGGTCAGTCCCCCACTCAAGGAAGTATCCAGCCCTGAATGTCAACGGAGCCGAGGCTGAGAAACCCAGTCTTAGAGGAAGCTCTTCTATAGAGTGTGTTCCTGAACATACTCATAAGCTGTCCATCAGGCCAGGATTAAGGAACAGAGGTCACGGGATAATGCAAGTGGATTGAAACAGAACAGATTGAGTCTAGAGGCTGCCTTTGGGTAGAGAGCTCCAGGGGATTTGTGTAGGTTCCCTGGTTCTAAATCTGCCCAGTCTATCACCTCTCCAAAGAATATTCCTCACTGGGGCATTAAAAGGGGAGGAAAGAAGGGAATTCACATAAAACACACCCTCAGAACAAATATAAACAGTTTAATCATTAGGTGAATATATGAAGACAGCATCTATGGTGCTTGGAAACTTCCATGTTCAGTATGCATCACCATTAAATGTTATTTTCAAAGAAGTACATACAGTATAAATAAATATCAAAAAAGTCAACTTGCTATAGATACTTGCTCTATACAAAAAATTCTGAAGATGACAAACCTGAATATACTGAAGATAGTTATCCACCGTGCTGCATTTTGGAATATTATATCCTTGGTAAAAGCTAAAATCCGGTCCAAACATATTTTCACTGAACCAAACCTTAGTAAGTGTGTTCAACAATCTCTTGTCATAGTCATCAGTGACTCTGCCTCCGTACTGAATCTCTCCTATCATGTAGCGTACGGTGGTCCAGGAGACGCCCTGGGAAAATTTATAGAATGATTGTGGACTGACTACTGTCTCACCCCCATTTTCCCTGCCAAGTGACACCCATGTAATCATTGTCATCAATGTCATTTACTCATTCATTTATTCACTCCTCAGTAATGCGAAAAGTGCAGAAAGAAAGTTAAATAGGCAGACGTGAGGGGTGACTCAAAGCTCGTGATCATGACCTGAAATAGATTCTCTTGGTGCATTCATATGTTTCTATACTTTAATTTCAATAGGAAAAAAAAAATTGTTTATTTTTTGAGAATATAGAGGCTGTTCTTTAAAAAGCACACACTCCAAAAGTAATCTAGACTCTAAATTTTTCATGTTTTAGGATTTTAAAAAACACACTTCTTGACCCATTCCCCCCTCCCTCTAATAGACCCCGTTAGGTTGTCTTACTTGTAATGTCAACTTGTCTTTGAGAAGTAAAAACATAATCAAAATTTGTTCCTTTTTTTCCCCAAAATCAAGAGGCTAGTGTGACCCAAGCTGCTATGACTTAAAGAGAATGACTTTGCCAGCACAGAAAATCATCACTCTTACAGGATTTACGCCAAGGCTGGGCGGTCATGTTAGCTCCAGGACCCAAGTCCACAATCACCAGGGGCACGAAGCAGTGTGTGCACAGTACCTTTTTGAGATCCATGTCGTCTAAGTGGTTTTGGATGAACTGCACCGTGGCATTAAAGTCGGCTTGGTTAAATTCGTAGGGTATGTTCCACCCCAGGGGGCCGAACTTGCGCCTCTCCTGGACGGTGGAGTGCAGGAAAGCCACGGCATACAGCATGGGCTTCCACTGGGCTACAGTGCTCACGTCCAGCAGGTCTTGGCTCACACCTGTTGTGGTCAGTTAGGTGAAAAACTATATCATCTCTCAAACATCTTTACTTTCTACTACTTTTATAATCTATTAATTATTTTTGTAAATTCCTGATATTACACTTCACTTATCTTGAATTACTCTTACCATATTCATATGACAATTATAATTTAACTTTTGGGTACCCAGAGGGCATTCCTCTCTGAAAAATATGCACAGAGATTTGAGGCGGTGGGGGGCTTGCTAACATGGATCAAGTTCTTGGCCAACCTAACAAGATAATGCAGGGATAAAACAGAGATGGAAGAATAGTGGCAGTAAAACAAATTTTGCTGCTGTTACTACAACTACTACTACTACTACTAGGGGCATGTACACAGGTTGCAAATCGTGTATATAGAAGCCCATTGCTACTGAAAAGTACGAACTACTAGATATAAAATAAGCTGTAAGGATATATTGTACAACATGGGGAATATAGGCAATATTTTATAAATGGAGTAGAGTCTTTAAAAATTGTGAATCACTCTATTACACACCCATAACATATAATATTGTACAGCAACTATATCTCAGTTAAAAAGAATAATAAAATATAATAAAATAAAAAAGAAGCCCATTGAAACCTGAGTATACTCCCCCAAAATAATTATGATTCCTATATATGTACATATTATATTGCATATATAATTATAAATTTTTTCACTTGAAATCTTTTTTTACTGACAACATCCTTCCACATCTATTTTGTTGGCAAAAATTTGAGACTTGTTGACAACTCCAAAAAAATTTCTTTGTAGATTTTTCAGATTGCTATGTAATAATTATTATCTTGATGATTATTATTAAATACACTATTTTAAATTAAATTTACTCCAATTGTCCTGGATAGTTTTTATTATCACCATTTTAGGCACAAGAAAACTGAAACTCAGGTTGTTTGAGTGATTAGCGCCCAAGAGAACAAAGCATTTGTTCAGGCAGTATCAGAGACGGGATTTCTAACTCCAAGTCCATACTCTTTCTGTGACCATGAGCCTAAGACAGGAAGCTATGACACAGAAGGAACAAATGGACAGAGAGTAATCTCAGCTCCAGTTGTGATAGGAGGGGCATTTTGGTCTGGTTTGGTGGCCGTTGTCGGATTTCTAACTTAGCTCACATTCTGACATCCTGACACACAACTTCATGCAATGAAAGTAGAGACCATAATTGTGACTCAGCCTCTCCTCTTGCAAGAGGCTACTGCCCTATGTTAGGTATGGAGCACGAAGACCATAAATGACATTATCCATTTTAGATGTTAACTTAGAAAGGCAAGTGTCTAGCAGAGAATAGCATAGGCCAAAGTAGAGCAATAGTGAGGAAATAGCAAAAATATAAGGTGGAAACCTGAGCTCTGATGCCCGAACACGGCCAGAGGATATTCCACATGGAGCAGGACAGAGGGGGCTATCCCTTCACCATCATGTTAAGTCATAGCACCACTTCCTATAACTAATCCCAGCTAATTCATTTTTCATAATTTCTTTAAGAAAACAATTTAAGCACAAGAACTCCTGTAAATTTGGAAGTATTCCTCGACTCACCACCATATGTTCTTTTCAGTCCTGCCCGGAGTCCCTGGGGGGGCTCATTGGCAAATTTAATGGACAGCTGAAGGAGGGTAATGGGAAACTGTTTATGAGCCTCGGTCGTCATCCACAGGCGGAAAGCATCATGTACAATCTCAGTTTCTATAATTATGTCCATTAGCTCATCCATGAAATTGAGCCCCAGATGGCAGTTCTGCAAAAGTGCCCATCCTCCCTACATCAACAACAGTACATGGAAATTAGTCGATTTTGTGTCAGAGATTTAAATTAGTACATTCTTTAGGAATTAAGTAATTAAAATTTAATAGAAAAGCACGCTAACCCCTTTAAAGTAATCTAGGTCAAATCTAAGGATATGATCATGTTGAACTGAGATAGGTTACATTTCTTCTTATTCCATGTATGTGTCTCACAGAATACTAGCATGCCACCTGTAGTAATAATATATAGTGGGGGTCATGAACATCACCAAAGTGAAACATAAAAAGAGAAAATGGCACTTCCAAGTAAAGATGGTTGACTGAAAACTGTCACTTAGCTCAGCTGCCTCCCCAAATTCCATGAAAAGTACAACAAAGGGACTTTTTTAAAGGTATGAACTCTGAAGGACAAAGATAGTGAGGGTGAAGACAATGTCAATAACACGGAAAAGAGACTCAAGAAAGCTGAACCCTAAACCGACCATTCGGGGAGAGCTGAGACGTAAACTGATTTATAACATATAACTCCCAAAACACTCAAGAAGAGGTGACGAAGGTCCTTCTGGAAGTGGGGGAAGATGATGGACTAATACAAGAAGATTGAAAGTCCAGACCCCCGACATGTTTCCTTAATGGAAGATGGAAAGTTGATTTTCTTTAGAAGGCAAAACAGACAGGGTTTGCAGTGGAGGACAGCAGCCTGTTAAGAGTATAGGAACCTCACTGAAAACAGGTAAAAGAAAGCTTACCTATTGAATTTGGAGACCTAGCACCTTCCTTCTCCCACTGAGTTCCCAGAATACAGACAGCAAGGTATATACCCTCTAGAATAAGGAAGAACCTTCTCTGGGGAATCTGACCACTCTAACAGCAAGAGCCTTAGAAAATAAAAAGCCATATCTCTTGTATAAATTATTCTATGAGCATAAGAAGATTCTTGTATAAAGCAACACAGGCAAAAATTTAGGTCATGAAATAATAATTTATTCAATACCTAATCTATAGAACATTTTTTGCCAAAATCATCTACCATACCCAGATCATAACCTCAAGTTGTTTTCTTGACTCTCTGACTTTGGATCACTTAAATTTGATTAGTGTAAAGATTTGATTAGTGTAACCTGAGATATTTTTCTTTCCAAGAAACAAACTAAGCACCAGATATAAAATCTTAGTCAAGTTATACGTAAAACTGATCATTGTGGAATGTCACATATTCCCTTACATTTTCTTCAGAAGTATATAGCACTGCTGAATAAATAACTATTTATTTTGTCCTATGAAAATTTAATTGACACTATTTACAATTCAAAAAAAAAGGGAAATTAAATATAAAACATAACTACAAAAAGGCTTCAGATGCTCTCTTTCATCCAGCATACAAGTGACTCCTGATCTTTCTTAGGTGAGAACTTGGAAGGTTCAATCTTCACCCATGGAAAGGAATCTTTGGCCAAGGTTGTTTCTTTGGCATTGCCACACTCTGTATGAATATTCGGTGTTCTTACTGAGCAGATCATCCATTTTGCTATTCTTGGGGAGTTGGTTCACTCTGTCATAAAATACTATTGTCTCTGACAAGTTATAAGCATGCTAATAATAATAAAGATTTTTAAAATTTTTTACTTGAAATTAAACTACTAAACAAAACCACAGATAAATTGAGGGCTAAAAATATTCCATTTAAATTCTAATTTAGTTGCCTGAAGCTATTAGTTACACCATTATTTATTTTAAATTCAAGTTAATTTCATGTCCTGTGAATGTTAGTGTTTTTGCTCTAAGTACAGTACTATGCAGAGGAAGGAAGTCAAGGGGGAGGGAGGATGACGGAAGAGAGGCCAGGATGGAGGCCCACCAAGCCCTCGTGTCAGACCAGACCTAGGATTCTGAATCATGGGTGTAGTTTTTCATCTCCCAACATATTTAAATCAGGTGCTTTCTGCCCTCTCCCTCCCAACTACAAACTAAGTGCATCAGGCAGAGCACAGCACACATGAGCGAACTCTCCCTTTCACCAAAGCTGAGGGCATGGCACAGCTTGAGGATGGAAGAGGTAAACATGGAGGTTCTAGAACGCAGTAAGCTCAGTTCCAGACCAGGAGAAGGGGACCAGGATACAGCACAGTGGTAAGATTCTAGAGTCAGCAGCTGGGACCTAGAACCCAATGGTTTCAGGGTGAGCTTAGTGTTTGGTCTGCTCTGTACACTGTTGGATTTGCAAGCTGCAAAGGGCTCTAGGAGACCCACCTGGAAGGCAACAGGCCAGGTTTCCTGAAAACCTCTGGTACCACCACAGGATAATAGCAGATTCCTGGCCTCTGGGATTGGGGGCAGGCCTAGGGGACCCCAGGGCACAGATGATGCATTCTGGAACCCAAGAAAGGCATGGTGTTGTAGATTCTAGAGAGCTATGGATTCCAAGAGCAGAGCTGGAGGGGTTGGAGCATATGGCAGAGAGGAGGAACTATAAACCCTACAGAGCGTTTGGGACCTGGAGTGGGGTTTAGCGTTATGCAAACTTGTCAGGAAATAAGATGTTCTAATTGGGCAAGTTTTCCATAAGTCAAGGCTCAGCAGAAAAAGTTTTCAGTGTGTCCATTTTTCTAATAGAAAATTGTGTCCAATTTTCTAATAGATATCATGCTTTTTCCTGTTTAGTAAACAGAATACAATACCTAAGTTTAAACTCTTAAGGATTCATAAGCTCTCCGCATCGTTATTCTATAACCTGTAATGTCAACATCATAACACAAAAGTAGACATCTGGTCTCACATTCGCCATGGTCTGCTGCAGGAGCTTGCGAGCATGGACCTCCTGGCCCTGCCCCATGGACACGTAGCGGGTTTCTATTTTTAATCTCTTCCCCAAGGCGATGATGGAACCTGTGGGGTCTGAGCCCATAGACAGGAGACAGATGAGTGGTGTCCGCAGGTCAGATTCCTCCCATGTCTTTTCCAAGTCCAGGATAACACCTTCCGCATACTTTTCTCCCATGGAGTCCACGATGTACTTACGTGCCTGCCAAAAACAGTACACGAGTCACCAAAACTAGCTCCAACTCCTTCTTGTGCATAATTCAATGTGGTTTCCAAAATTCATTTTTGTAGATTATCTCAATGATGTCTACAGTAACCCTGCCAGGAAAATAGGGCAGAGGCTTTTTTCTCGTTGGTTTATCTGTTGGTTTGCTTGCTTGCTTGTTTGAATCCTCTCTCTGTAGAAGCTGAGTTACTTGCCAAAAACACAATCACCCACTTAAAAGACTAGAACCCAGGTTGGCTGACTCCTTGTCTGGGACCTGTTTCAATACACCAGCTGCTTCATGCTACACAAAAGATTTAAAATATTAGGGAACTCTATTATTGAGGATGCTTTAAGGGAAAAGTATATGCATTCAAATAATCAAGTAAACAGTACAATGCCTGGGATTTAATGGGTACTTAACAAATAGATAATTACTGCTGAGTGACTACTTATGTAGTGAAATTTATTGCATACTTATCAAACTAATTAATTTTTAAAGATTTAATCCAATTGCATTTGGAGCACACGGTACCACTTAATTTTGTATCTCTTAATATTTTTTCAAGGTTGGCCAGATCCAGTATTGAATTCTCTAACCTGAGTATAAATGCCTGCACATTTTTTACAGCTTTCTGAAAGGTACTTTACAAGTTTGCCTGACATGTTCTTTGGTTTCTCCAAAAGTCTACTTGTTTACACATTCATCACAGCCACTGGGCAGTGTGCTTCATGATCAGGAAGGACTTCAAAGGCTGGACGCTCAGGTGTTCCACAAATTGCAGTTGTTTCTCAGCCACAGGCACCTGGGTACCTGCCATCATTGCAGCATCTCTCAAGATCCAGGTGTTTTGGCATCTGGCATAGCAAGGAGCTCAAAATGGCCAATCTTGCCACAGAATTCAGCACTGACCCCACCTGGACATTTCCATCCAAGCTATGAGCTAACATACTCTTACCTATACATACATCAGGGGCCAGGTGGTAAATATATTAGGCCTTCGTGGCCATACAGACTCTGTTGCCCAACTCAACCTACCACTGCAGCATAAACAAATGATAGCTCATAAATAAATGAGCATGGCTATGTTCCAATAAAAGTTTATAGACAATGGAATTTGAATGCTATATAATTTTCACATATCATAAAACATTATTCTTCTTGGCTTTTTTTCAACCATTTAAAACTATAAAAACCATTCTTAGCTCACAGCTGTACATACACAGGCAGTAGCACAAGATACCCTCTGACAGTGTGTTCTTCTTGCAACCAGGCTTTTGAATGCCCCTGGACATGCACTCATGCTCAGCCAAACTGCTATGGACAAGCCTGATGTTGCTTGTGGGGAATGGGGATTAAATATGTCCACATTGTAGACCCTGTAATATGCTTCCCCAAATGGTGTCTGGTTGAAAATCACAAAAGGAATCTAATGTGAGAATAAAAACTTCAGAGGAGAGAACATTTTTCCAAGGGGCCGTCTAGATCTTGCTTAAGACTTGGGTTTCACCATAAGGGCCATGGGAAGCCATTAAAGGAATATCATAATGATATTTCTGTTTCTTCTAGAATATACAAGATGGACTAAAGTGGGCAAGAATGAACTACAGGAGACCAGTTAGAAAGACATGGCTGTCATCAGCCTAAGGGTGACAGAGGCCAGAATGAAGATGACAAAGTTATCTTAAATTTCAGCACTGAACCCAATAAAGTGTTATGAAAACTATAAAAAGGGAAGGAAGGAAGAGAGGGAGGGAGGAAGGAGAGAAGGAAGGGGAAAAGAAGAGAAATTTCTACACCCCCCTTAAATAAGGCAACTGTTTGACAATTCATTTGGGCAGGATAAAAGTAATGAAGTTGAGAAGAAAAACCAAAGGAAGGGTGACCTCAGTGCCCTGAGTTGCAAAACTCATTTTTCTTTTCTCAGTAAATAATTGAATCTAGTTGTCTTCATGATTCCACAGTACCCAGGTGGTTACTCCATATGTTTTTAACACTCCCTCTGGAGAGTGAAGGGGAAAAATTCCTACATTCTATTAGAAACCCCAGCCTACTGTTATTTTATGACTTATTTAAAGAAGTCCATTTAAAAAAAAAAATCAATGTCTGTGAATAGTAGAGTTCAACTTTTAGCTGTGAAGGCAAGATACCACAAGTCTGTTTCATGGGTAAATTTCCATGACAGCAAGGCCAACAGATTAAAAGTCTTCGAAAAGATGGATCTTGTAGAGGCAGGGTTTACATTTAAATGATATGTATCATTCAAAGAAATTTAGGCAAACCTTCTTTCTCACATCGAGGTTTGTGACACATCCTGGTGTAATGGCTACGGATTTGGGGATGCTATACTGCCCTGTAGTCTTCCTCTCCCCTCCCCAGTACCTGAGCAGTCTTCCTATTTAAGAAACATCACTTTACTACTAGCAAAATGGAGTAGCCATATCTTTTCTGAGTTAATATAAAAATGATATGGAAAAAACAATGCGTTACCTTCGCATTAGACCTATATAACCACCTTACATAGTTTCCTCATTCACTCTTATTGTATCACTTAGACCAAAGAAAATTATTAAATCACTTAGCCCAAATATACACCTCTGTACACTTATTTGTTGTTTATTTTTCCATTTTTCACAAATGTATTGCTAGAAAATTACACAGAAGCCTACACAAAAATTCTCACTGGGGTTAACATTTTAAATATTCTTTTAAATTTAAAAGGAAATGTTCCTTTAAAATATTCTCCTATTTTTAAAATGTGTACTTTTTACCTGGGCAATGGTTCTGTCGGGACACCAGGATCTAATAAGGAGAAGACGTCTAAAGCAGTCTAGAGATTTATCATAGGCATTTGGAAGGGGTTCCTCCTCAGGGTTTTTCTTATCAAACCAAATTTTCCACATTTTCTCATTTCTTGATATCTGAAAATACCAGGGGATAAGAAAAGTGTCACACCACAGAAAAATCTTTCAGTAAGCATTCACAGATATTTTTTCTCTTTCTGACCATTCCAGGCATGTGTGAATGCTATTCCTTGAGTATTTTTTAAAATTTTATATCCTAGCACCAAAAAGTTGAGAGTCTAAAATCAAATGTGATTTGCTCTAAAGTCAGTCTGTATTAACACCAGCCTCCAGCTCCCTCTTAAAGGAGGGAGAGCCCTGGGTTGTGGAATTTCTTCTATGACTTTGTGGGAACAAATCTGCAAAGAATAGAGAAATCAATGGAAATTCATTTTCATTATTTTAAGGAAATCTGTTTTGCTCCATGAGATCCCCTATGACTAAGAACCAAGTCTCAGGCTTCCCTGGTGGCGCAGTGGTTAAGAATCTGCCTACCAATGAAGGGGACACGGGTTCGATCCCTGGTCCGGGAAGATCCCACACGCCGGGAAGCAACTAGGCCGGTGCGCCACAGCTACTGAGCCTGCGCTCTAGAGCCCTCGAGCCACAACTACTGAAGCCCGTGCGCCTAGAGCCTGTGCTCCACAACAAGAGAAGCCACTGCAACGTGAACCACAATGAGGAGTAGCCCCCGCTCACCACAACTAGAGAAAGCCCGCGCGCAACGAAGACCCAAGGCAGCCAAAAATAAATAAATTTATTATTTTATTTATTTATCTTTTTATTTTTGGCTGCCTTGGGTCTTCATTGCTGCACACGGGCTCTCTCTACTTGCGGCGAGCAGGGGCTACTCTTCGTTGCGGTGCGCGGGCTTCTCATTGCAGTGGCTTCTCTTGTTGCGGAGCACAGGCTCTAGGTGCGCGGGCTCAGTAGTTGTGGCACATGGGCTCAGTAGTTGTGGCTCCCAGGCTCTAGAGCTCAGGCTCAGTAGCTGTGGTGCATGGGCTTAGTTGCTCCACGGCATGTGGGATCTTCCTGGACCAGGGCTCAAACCCATGTCCCCTGCACTGGAAGGCGGGCTCTTAACCACTGTGCGACCAGGGAAGTCCCAAAATAAAATAAATAAATTTATTTAAAAAAAAAAATAGAACCAAGTCTCATTCGCTTATGTTTCCTCATTTCCCAGGACCATTCTTGGAACAAAAGAAGACATTTACTACATGTTTATTATTGAAGTCTCTTGGTCAATACTCTATTAATCTACAGTAATTGGAAATACACCACTTAATATCAGCATCAAATGAATAATCACACTTGCTTCCTTTAGGCAATTGGTAAAGGAAGAAAACACAGTCCATTATCATTTGAAGCTTAAAAAATCAAAGAGAGGCAAGCATTACATGGGCAAGCATCTCAAAATCATAGAATAAATCACATCTGCAGATAAACATGATCTTATGTTCTCTGGTATATTCCCTTTGATTAAAGCCCCAAGTGTTTTCCTTGGAGATCTAATCAAAGGAAAAATCATTTGGGTTCATATTTAGAAAATATCATGTAAGAATAAAAAAATAACCTCTTTCAATCGTGAAAGACTACATAATATGGAGGGATCTCAGGTATACGATATAATCTCCAGAAGACAGATACTTCAATAACTGATAATGGTCCAGGAACGGTCACTAGGAGTCATCCCATGGGGGAACAAGCTAGAATGCATTAAAATCTCCCCCCCCCAAAAAAGCTATTTAACCCAAAAGAATGGCTTATACCCTAATTACATGGTAATCACCAGGTGTAAGCCAAAACATAAAAATATAGCAGAGCTTAAGCTTCCAGTCAACTTAAACTGGCAGAGTCAAGAAAGAGCATTAGGACAAATACCATATGATATCATTTATATGTGGAACCTAAAATATGATACAAGTAAATTTATCTATGAAACAGAAACAGACTCACAGACATAGAACACAAACTTACAGCTACCAAAGGGGAAAGGGGGTGGGGGAGGGAGAAATTAGGAGCTTGGGGTTAACAGATACAAACTACTGTATATAAAATAGATAAACAACAAGGTCCTACTGTAAAGCACAGGGAACTATAGTCGATATCTTGTAATAAACCCTAATGGAAAAGAATATATGTATATATATGCACAACTAAATCACTTTCTTGTACACCAGAAACTAACGTAACATTGTAAATCAACTATACTTTAATGATTAAAAAAAAAAAAAAGAACCAGTGTTAAGACATTTTCTGGTGAAAAAGAGCCTTCATCTGGCAGCTGAAGAAAGCCACCTTGCTGTCCATGCAGCTTCTCGCTGGTCATCAGATTCTCAAGAAGCTATTTCCTGGCTTGTCCCAATTCAACTTTCTATACCCAAGTTCCATAATACCAATATATACACCATTCATCAGGAACTTGCTGCTTATGAAAGGACAACGACTTCTAAAGATAAAAGGCCAGGTGTTTGTTTTAGATTCAGACCCAGATGCCTATAGCTAAGGCAGTATAAGGAAGAGAGGAAGAAGAGAGAAACAAGGGGTAAGAATGGATATTTACTACTTAGAGGAAGGGTGTTCTTATTACTTTTCATTGATCTTTAGAAAGACGGCAAAACCTTTTAATCATATCTAATCATTTAATCTAATTGAAGCTGTTTTCCCACTTGAGAGTCTCCAATTGGTGATACTGACATATCATCCAGGTCAGCGTTGGTTAAACTTCCTAGGTAACTAATTTCTTCCTGCGAGACCAGCCTGCCATGGATGGAGTGTGCATTATCAGAGTATGAGTGAGCGGTGAGGAAAGTCAAGCACTGGTCATACCATTTTAAGAGTGACAAAGAAATCTCTCTCTCCCCCAAGGAGTGTAGCCAAATGATAAATCAGGAAGCTGCTCACTGTGACATTATCGTAAGTTTACTCAAAGTACAAGTTACCTGATCAAGGACATCAGAAAACTGTCTAAGTTTGCTCAGTTCCACCAAATTCAGCCAGGTCACGTCCAGGATTCATTTAGATGGTTTAGGAGGACAGGCTTTCAAGTCCAACGAGGCACCACCTTTCAAGTTAAACATATTAAGTTATTAAATTTTTCTTTCTTTACTGTAAAACAATCTCTTTATAAAAAACTTTTGCTGAAACTATTTTAATATCAATTCTTTTACTACCTGGACATTTATTAAACTCAGAAATATAAGTCATAGTGATGAACAAGCTTTAACATTTAATAAAGGAATAGATGATTTTAGAAAAACACATTTAGGGATCAATAATATAGCTTTGGATTTAGGTAAGTGGTGGATTCTGTCTTTGCTCCACCTGGCCAAGGTCTGGGACAAGCCAGCTCATCTGTCTGGAACTCTGTTTCCAAATATGTACAATGGGAATAATGAAGCCTAGGTGTTGTGATAATGGCAGAAAATATATAAAGTGAGTGTAAAGCACTCAAAACAGGATCAAGGACAAAGCAGAGGGTCACTAAATGAGCAGCTATTGTCAGCATTAAGAACTGCCAAATATTGGCACAAGCTCATTTTAAGGAGATAATTTATCTAGAAATGTTAGTAGCACTACCTGCGTTTGAAGGGTTCTCCTGTATAAATCAGTATATTATTTACATCCATTTTGAGCACACCCAAGGGCCCTGTGCTATGTCACTTATTTTTTGTCAATCTATCCACAACAAACATTTCCATTTGGTACTGACACCTATCTTTTTGCTGATGATTTACCTACGCTCACGTAACTCATATAACTCTCACAGCGCCCTAAAATAAATGACAGTTTAAAAAGTTATTGTTGCCCATCCCAGAAAAACTAAATGTGTGAACAATCATATTTTAAGTCAAAGAAAGAGTTAGCAAGACTTCTATAGGATAAAATATTCTGTTCAATAAATAACATCTATTAAAAGGTTTCAGGGAAAATACGCTCTAACCATAATTCTTAGGAAGATATAACCAATCCATTTGGCTACAATCTTTTTTTGAACAGAGCAGGTCATAAACAAGTAATAATACTCAAGATATTTACTGAGCCAATCTCTACTTTATTCAGGTACCATGGAGCCCACGAAATTGTTGTCTTTTGCCAAATCCATCTTAGTAGACGTCCAAGGTAAGTGGAACAAGAGGTAAGTGAAGCCACTTCAGTGAAAATATTAGCTTATGAAAGCAAAACAGATTGCTTGAACACCAGGAAGCAGCTAAAGACCTAAGGACAACGCCACTGTGTTGAAAACTGTCACACCAATTTCCATGGAAACTGTCCATTTTCCAACAAACTGAAAAGAATGATGTATTCACCACAGGATTAGGGAGAAGCTTTTCATGGAAAAGAGTGTTCCTCGCAGCCAAAGATTATTCATTGTTTAATAGAGGGTAACACTGTCATGAATATCTTGCCTGCCTCAGAAGTATACTTTGGGCAACAAAGAATGTTGTAATGGTAGGGAGTGGGGAACATATTCCTGGATAATATGGCACCAGATTAGATGGACTTTTGATGAATAAACTGCTGGGATAGGAATAATTCAAAATAAATTCTCAAGATGATTGAGAATTATGCCAGTTCCTTCATCCCTCAAACCCTTGCTTTGGGAGAAAGAAGGTTTAAATCTTTATCATTATACCTTGTAAAAGTGAAACATGCTTACAATGATTTATACAAGTTGTACCTTGTATCGTGAAGTGGCATAGCTAAGGTAGACTTAGAAAGTCATCCAGGCTGATGCTTTCCCACCTTAGAGATGAGTAAATTAAAAAATCAGTATCAAAACACTGCTGCTATCTAAACAACATTTTCAAACAAGTGATTTTAAAGTCCTTACAGAAAGAGTTCATGTCATTGGGCAGCTTTCACCAACATAACTAACAAAGGGAAATCTTATGAAACTCTGTGTCCTAAAGGAGTACAAGAAATAGCTGTTGAATGCCAAAGTCCCACAAAATCCTGTCCAACCTATGCAAACCTCAGACTAATCGAAATAAACTAAAAAACCAAAGATAATATAACAATGCCTATCGTCTGTTGATCTATTCTATGTGCCAGGGTTTATATAAGTTGTCGAATTCTCAATAATCCTATTATGTAGATTTGACTATCTTTGTTTCATAGCTGAGGCAACTGAAGCTTGAAAAGTTTAAATAACCTGATCAAAACCACTCATCCAGAAGGTGGCAAAGCCACTATTTTCCCTTAGAGTCTTCCCAACTCTAAATCCCATGTTTGTTTCGATCACGCCAAACTGTAACACACTTTACAGTATTTCTGGACACTATGTTCAATGTCATTTCCATAGGGAAATGCATCTCTCTCCTGAATTGAGGGTGTCAGGAACAACTTTCCCATAGGAAGCTCCATCAGCTGGAGGACCAGAGTCACTGAGGCCAGAAATCATTTATATATGAAGGACTCACTGAAGAGGGCAACTCCTACACCTACATGTCCATCTTAGGTGATGTCTCACCAGACCATTCATCTTCCACGTGCTCTGATTTAGGAAACTTGGAACAAAAAGAAATCTAAGGGGCAAGGGTTCAACGTTTAGAAACAAGAGAGAGAAAGAGAAAGAGAGATCATCCACAAATCATAATTTCTGAGTTTTCAAGTCTAACTAAATGAGTCTTTATTGCTACCATAAGATACATAGATATAGTTATAGAGGCATAAGCATATGTGTATGAACATGAATATGCATTTGTGCATGTATAAGTATGACTCTGACCTACATACCCCCATGTGTGCCCTTCTCTAAGGCCCCCATTGGGATCCTCTTCAAGTTCCTCTGCAAATCTACTCTCCATGTAGGTGAAGTCAATGAAAATCCACCCCTCCAAAGATAAAGTTGTGCCTTATCTTTAAAGATAAGCCTTTGTTTAAAAAGGTAGAGTAGATAAAACCATTTCCAGCCTAGCATCATTTCCACTGTTCCTTTAAATACTTTTTGTCCAGACATTCAAGAATGTGATAGCAAATGTGTGTTTCCCAGCCTTCCACGGCAGAGGGGACCTGTCTGTGATCAATGTTACAATACATACAGAGGAAATATCCATGGGATGAGTGGCATGGTCACCTCACCCACTCTGCTCCAGCCACCCTGGTTGCTTTGCTTTGCCTTCATCATAGGACGCCCTCTCCCACGACAGGCATTGATGTCACCTCCTCAACCTTCAGCACTTTCTCTAAACGTCCCCAGGACCAACATCCCCTGGCCCTTCAGGTCTTGGCCACCTGTCCATCTCTCGGGAATCCTACCCAATGAGAGATCCCATTAAATATCCCATTAAAAATTTTAAACCTTCCCCACTCCACATACTAAACATTCCCCAACTCCCTTATCCCTCTCTGTTTTTCCATAGTGCTTACTAGCTCCTGACACACTGCACAATTTACTTACTGTTTATTATGTTTCAAGTGCCTATTCTGTGTCCTGGCATGCAACAGTTTCCCAATAAATATTCATGCAATTAATGAACAAATAAAATAGTTCCGACTTCCCTGGTGGCCCAGTGGTTAAGAATCCACCTGCCAATGCAGGGGACACGGGTTCGATCCCTAGTCCAGGAAGATCCCACATGCCGTGGAGCAACTGAGCCCATGCGCCGCAACTACTGAGCCCGTGCTCTAGAGCCCGCGAGCCACAACTACTGAGCCCGCGAGCCACAGCTACTGAAGCCCGCATGCCTAGAGCCCGTGCTCCACAACAAGAGAAGCCACCACAGTGAGAAGCCCGCACACCACAACAAAGAGTAGCCCCCGCTCGCCGCAACTAGAGAAAGCCCGTGCGCAGCCACAAAGACCCAACACAGCCAAAAATAAAAAGATTAATTAATTAATTAATTTTTTTAAATGTTAAAAAAAACCTCACATAAATGCAATCTTCATTGAAATGCAAGGAAACTGCTATTGCTAAAAAAAAAAATGCACAAGACCTTAACTATAATTCCTACATCTGCACCTGTACACAATGCTTTCTACTCTAATATTGACCTTTAATAAGGGTGAGAAACTCTTCATGCTTGACCCGGTTCCTCTGCATGTCAATCTTTAGGGTAAGCAGCAGGGTGAAGAGAAATTTGTGCCCCTCGTACAAACCCCGAGCCGTGTACTTATAAACCTCATAGGTCATGTGCTCGATGATATTAGCAATCCTCTTGCTTGTAATTGGGCTCTTGACAGACCTGGAGAAGAGAACATTTAAATCAGGCTTGTCCCACTCTTTTCAATTGTCCCTAAAAACAACGTCTTTAACGGAAAATAAGTAACTCTGGAGGACCAATTCTTACTTTTTACACATCAAGAGTAAGCCTCCTAAATCTAAAATAACAAGCACTCTCTCCACATGAAATAACAGAATCCTCCATGTTGTCTGAATCAATTTTACCTGCGGAGTATTATCACTCACAACAATGTCTGGGGAATTTTCTTGTTTAACAGAAACTTGGGGAAACCAAAGGAATCGATCAGTGGATGAACAGTTGGTAGAGCTTTCTCTAAGCATAAAATGACAAATGAGAATGATTTGTTAACACACTGGTAATTACACTCAACTTAGATTTAAAGAAAAAAGAAGCAGCTTAGTTGCAAAGGGAAAATAAGTTATCAATGTAATGTCACTGTTCTAACCCACAGATACAGAATTCAGCTTGGCTTCCTGAGTACAGACGTACCTGGCCAAGGAAAGGTCAAACAAGCCAAGAAACTGGCGGAGCGAAGTCTGATACATCTCATTAACCAAGCACATTTCCGTGATGAGGAAGTAGAGGATGCTGCCCCGGGTAGCAACTAAAAGACAAAGAGCAATGACGCACTTGCTACAAGCGCAGAAAATAAATGACCCATGCACAGATCAGTCTAAACGCTAAATGAAACAAGTTTTATTTGTACGTCTTAGCAAACCAACAATGGGAGTCTAGAGCAATGTCATCATATATATTGAATCCTTCTTTGTAAGCTTTGAACAAGTAGTCTGCTATCTGGGTTCATTAAATGATACTTTCTGTTTTGGAATCTCTAGATTCCTTATAAATACATTTTTTTACACTCT